TTAACTGATTTGTATGTGTTACTTTCATGTAGGGTGAAGCTATTGCCCATAATTTGAGGACCATGTTTGGTCTGAAGGTCCCAATTGTTTCTATTGTTATTGGGGAAGGTGGTTTTGGTGGTGCCTTGGCCATTGGCTGTGCTAATAAGTTGTTAAAGCTGGAAAATGCAGTCTTTTATGTTGCCAGGTGATTTGAGTTTTTCAATATTGTTTTTATTGAATATTAATTAACTATATACAATTTGGCCTTCCATTCCAAAACAATGTGTGAAATTTTCATGGCACCTGGGTAAGATTGTCTATTATTCCTTGTATATCTGAGTTAATTTTAGATGCATTTTCTACGTGTGCTTTTATTTCTTTTTCTCTGATTTAATTTTTTAATGGTATAGTCCGGAAGCATGTGCTGCAATTTTGTGGAAGACTGCCAAAGCTGCTCCAAGGTTTTGAAAACAATTACTGCTTTTGGGCTTATCTTTTAGTACTGATTTCATTTGATGATAGAACGTTCACCGTTTTTATCTATGTAGGCAGCTGAGCAGCTGAGGATTACTGCTCCAGAGTTGTACAAGCTGCAAATTTGTGATGGAATCATTCGTGTAACTAACTTCGTCACTCTCATTTCTTCAATGAATTAGTTTTTCTGCTTGTGCCTTTTTTTTTTCTGTTTTTGTTTCTTTTTTCGTAGTTCTATGCCTTACAAAAACCATGATAACTTAAACCTACTACAGGCAATTTCATAGAGCAAAGTTGACTGCTAAAGGCTACATTGCTCCACTTTCCTTAGTGTATTCTTTATAAACAAAAGCCAACAATATAGAAGAGTGATTTATGTATTTCACATCTCTGTTTGATGTTTGAAGAAACTGCTGTATTTGGCTTTCAAAGTATTTGCTTTGTACAGCTTTAATGGTTGAATATTGCTCCAGATTTTTTGTTTCCTTTTGGAAGTTCATGTTAATCTCCATGGCATCTGACACTTATTTTTACTTTTGATAGGAACCACTGGGTGGTGCCTACGCAGATCCAGCTTGGACTTCACAACAAATAAAAGCTGCAATTAATGAAACAATGGATGTGAGTTCCACTAGCATTAGTTTTTCATCAAGAAATGTATTGTAATGTAACAAAAATTTATTCTGTAGGAGCTCACAAAAATGGACACGGAAGAGCTACTAAAGCACCGCATGCATAAGTTCAGGAATCTGGGTGGGTTCCAAGAAGGTGTCCCAGTGGATCCGAAGAAAAAGTTCAATATGAAAAAGAAAGAACTAACCATTCCTAGAACCTCAAATGCGGAGTTAGAGGTTGAGGTTGAAAAACTGAAACAGCAAATCTTGAAAGCCAAGGAATCATCCACTAAACCTCCTGAGTTAGCTCTGAAGGACATGATAGAAAAATTGAAAAGGGAGGTTGATCATGAATACTCTGAGGCCATTAAAGCCATGGGCTTGAAGGACAGGCTTGATATGCTAAGAGAAGAAGTTGCAAAAGTAAATACAAGAGACCAACTCATAAATCCTTTTGTAATGGATAAGATTGAGAAGCTTAAATATGAGTTCAACCTAAGTCTATCAGCAGTTCCAAATTACACAACCCTCAAAAATAAGCTTGACATGTTGAAGGAGTTTTCTAAAGCCAAGAATCTCTTGGAGGCTGCTACACTGAAACAGGAAGTTAATAAGAAATTCAATGAAGTCATGGGTGGGCCTGAGATAAATGAGAAGCTTGAAGCAATAAAGGCTGAGGTTCAAAATTCTGGTTCATCCAGTTTTGTGGATTTAGATCAAGAGCTGAAGGACAAAATTCTGAAAATGAAGAAAGAGATAGAATTGGAAATGGTTAATGCTCTGGATTCGTTGGGTTTGGATGTTGAGGTTGTAAAATCAAATGCTGAAGTCCTAAGTGAGCGAACTTCACTCTCAGCCTTCAAAAATAAGGTGGATAATTTGAATGAAGAAATTAACAAGAGATTTGAAAATGTTGTCAATTCATCAAAGTTGAAAAATATGATCGAGTCATTGAAGCTGCAGATAGCAAAGGCAGGAAAGAAACCTGATATAAAGTCAAAAAGTAAGATTGAGGCTATACAACAACAGATTAAGCAAAGACTTTCAGAAGCTATCAGCTCCTCAGAATTGAAGGAGAAGCATGAAGAGTTGAAGGCAGAAATATCTGAAGCCATAGAATCTTCTACTGGAACTGTTTGAAGTTTGCAAAAGGAAACCAAGTATGAGGAACCTAGACTAGAGATCAATTTGGGTGCAAACCGCAGCTTTTCTTAGTGTATGTAGCTCCAGGCACTATACATTATCATTCTTTTTATGCTTTAGATTTCTGATGAATAATAGAGTTTTCTGACATTATTTTATTGGGATGCTTAAGGACGTATACCATTAGGACATTGACATTTTGAGGTTCCCTATGTAATAAATAGCTGTTAACTATTACATCTATTAATCATAAATGGACAACCTTGTATTAAAGAGTGATTATGCTATTTCAAACTTTGCTATTTTACTTGATTGGTATAATTGACTTTTATGTTTCATAATTTCTTGTTACTCTTCAGGATATTGGTTCTGTCAGAATGTTAGCGATGTAGATGGTGTTGGAAGTTTGACCGAAGAACTACAATTGCATCAAGCTCTTCCAGAGGAATTATTCAACCTCGAGCCTTTCAAGTGCCACCAAATCCTCCAGTGTCACATGCAGACCAGTGGCCACAAGGTTTTGCATCTATGAAGACACTAATTGGTCCCTGTTTTACAAAGAACACTGTAAATCTTGTGTGATTGCTAGGGGAAGCCAATGGCATGCTTCCAAATATCAGGAATAACAACACACTTCTCTTTTTCTTTTCCCCTCATTTTCTTATTCCCTGTTTTGATTAATTAAATTAAATACCTTCTTGTCAGGTGCACAATTATGAAGACCAAGTCGTATGTTATCATATTATATACTTTTCTGCCAAGTTATGTCAGAATCTTGTTTCCTAAGTAGTCTATGGGTTAGAAGTCAGCCATAACAGTAACAATCAGCCAAAACCACTTGTCATTTTCATAATCATTCTTACAGTGAGATACCCACCTGGCTTACTAGAAATAAATTTCGGCTGACCTGCTTCGAACGTCAATCTAGCCTAATGGGTTTTCAGCTTAGTAAGCTTCAGTAAAAAAGAGCCCACTCAAATGGACCATTTGGAGCTTGGAAGCGAACGCGAAATTGATTGAGGCTCCATTTGAATCTTATCGAATCATCAGTGAGGTAAAATTCACTTGATTTTTTCATTTTAAATGTATTATTCTTTCATTTGGATTTCATCTTTAAGATACGATTAGTATCAGTGAGCAACTGGAGTTAAAAGCTACAGTGAAAATTATGAGTTTTATCTCCTGTGAAAATTATGTAGTTTCACAGCATTTTTTTTTGGGTCATTTTTATCTTCATCGTATTATTAATTTTATATTTAAATACATATATTATTATTTTTAATCTTATTATTATTATAATAATTAATTTTATTTTTATAACTATTTTTAATTTTTTCAAAATTAATTTCACCGCCTATCAAACCAGAGTATGAATTTGGAAATCAGGCCATGGCCTTTTGGTATTTTTGGTTCTTTGAACTGAGAGTAGAGGAAGAGAGACAACGGATCGATTCCCTTCCAGCTTCCAGACAGTACTTCTACTTTTGGAATTTTTGGCCGCACTACCCCCTTTTTTTGTCCTTTTACCCTAGAATTGGACCATATTATTGAATTTTTTACTCACCCATTTCAAAGGCAAATACGTCAGGGACACGGCAGGTTCCCGATGCTTGCTGCTCCCCCAGACCCATAGCTCTGCCTGCCGCTTTCATTTAGCCTTTCACTTTGCTTTTTTTTTTTCCCCCCTTCTTTTTACTCCCTAGGCTTTGAAAGAATCACGGGCTGCCTTTGCCCTCTGCTTGGCCACGTGCACTTTCTCACTTCTTGGCCTATGACGCGTTGCTCTAAGTTTCTAGTTCCTCAAAGGTTTCTCATTTTGCCGTGCATACTCCAAGAATACATTGATTTAGTTGCATCAGCAAAATGGTAGGGTTTAAATTATTTTTGTCACTAAAAGTTGATACAAATTATTAAAGTTTAGGATATAAATATGAAATATTTAAATTTAAACCCTCATAATTTTTATTGGTAGGTAATCTCAAAAAATTTTAAAATTTTTTTATGAGTTAATGGTTTGTTATAATTTTAAAGGTGAAATAACTATTCCTGTTTTAAAATTTTTTTGACCATAACAATTATTTTTTATTTGAATTAAAAAAATACTTTTATACCTTATCATGAAAAAGTTGTATATTTATAGCATGCTCGGTTAAATATAAGTAAGAAACTTGATATTCCATTATTACATCAACAATTTTTATAATAAAAATATAAAAAAAATTTATCAATAAATTACGTGATCAATGACTTCATATTATCATTAATATCATTAATAAATATCATTTTATCTCATTTTAAAAATTTTAAATTCAAATTCAATTGATCTCATTTTAGATAATTGAATATAATTCGAAGATTTTTTATTAATATTATTTTAAATACATAATTTTTTATCATTTTTTTTAGATATTGAATATAATTCAAAAATTTTTTATTAATATTATTTTAAATATATGATTTATGTCGTATTTTTAGATAATTAAATCTGTTAATTTTATTTTGATACAACAAATTAAGCAACTTATCTATTGTTTTATTTTTAAAAAAAAAATTGGGTAAATGGCCAGGGAAAGCGGGGAATGGAAAATATGGACAGGGGCAATATTGTCATTTAATTTGCAATTTTTACTTAGTTAAATAAATACTGGGGTGAGTTTTGCAGTAAGATTCCATTTACACAAATAACTCATTTATTGTAGCTACTTTAATATTTCGAGAAATATTTTCTTTTCCTTTTTTTTTTTTTGATATGGAAAAAAATTATCGGCATAATTTTTTTTCTAAAAATTTATTGCGATAATTTTATCCCCTCTATTTATCAAATCTCTCTCTTTCTCTCTCCTGACATGAGAGTGATTTATTAACTTTTGTTTTTTACTATTCTATCTCTCCTCTTTCAAAAACCTACAACATTCTCTCTCTAGGGTTTCGAAGGGAATTTTCAGCTAAACCGGAGGGCACCCCACCCCAATTGTAGGGTTCGTGCGACTTACTGAACAACTTTATTGTGAATATCGGATTCAAGAGAGGCTTCAATTTCTTTTTCCGGGAAAAACATAAAGACGAAATCAGTTTATTTTAGTGCCTTCAACGACATAGTGAACCGTCATATCGCTGTAATTTCTTCGTCGATTTCATGTTACTGGTGAGTTCGAACCTAATTTCGTGTTCCTCTTTCGATTTTCTCTCTTTGCTCATCAACCGTTTCGCTTTTGCTGGCAAAAGGATTGCGTCGCTTGCGAATAATTTTGTTGGTTAGGGTTGTTTCGAATTGTTCGTCTACTTCGCTTACCAGCTAGACATAGTTTATAGCAAAAAAAAAAAAAAAAAGCACGAGGCGAAATGAGGAAACAGAAAGGGAGGCAAAGTGTGAGAGAAAAGAGCACGAGCTGTTAGGTAAATTTTGCTCTTAATTTGATGAATTTATTTGATAGGAGAGAGCTAGTCATTGTATTTGTGATGATTTAGTATTAATTGATTAGAGAATTTATTTGTTTTCGTTTTGTTTAACTTTTGGTATAGGTTTTAAGTTCGTGGTGTTTGGTAGATGCTGAATGATTGCTAGTATGGACTTAAATGCTTCGCCGTTACCTGAAGATGATGAAGACTCATATGAAAGCCATGTAGAACATTACTCTGCACCAAAAGAACATGTAGAATCTGCAGTCGAAATTTCACGGCGGGTACTCCTCGAATTTTCTCTTCTAGTTTTGTCATGCTTCATTTGTCTTCCATTTAAAGAATGCATTTAGTTGCTCTTGATATCTATCATTGGTTGGAAATAATTCCCGGGTTTTATTTGTATAGAATATATATATATATATATATATATATATGATTCTGATAAATATGATTTAGAGAATTTCATAATGAATCATTCCAGGGATTGAGGGGTAGGGCGAGGTGGTGCTGTAGTCAGACAAATATTTTTGGTTTCATGTGCATGTGTAGTGTTGAAGTTTTTTGCATTAATGTGGTTGATTTCGCGGGTAGTAGCTACTTATTGTTAAGGTAACATGGAGGACTGAGAAGAGACATTCTCGCTTGTATATTCATTGCATGGAAAATGTTTGCTCTTGTGCAAAGGAATTGTGTTGTTCTTATATTTGTAGTGGAGTTGTGATCAATTGTTCTTTGTATTTATGAAAAATCTGTGTGTCCATAATTTTAATTGTTAATTAACATGCACATTGGGTTCCTCTTTCTTTTTCCATCTTACTCTTCCCTTATCTGTTTCCTATCTATGTTAAGCATGTCATGCTGTGTTGTTGTTGTTTTACTCTTTATATAGTTTGTAGTCTTCATATTTTTGCATCACTGTTCATTCATGCATGGTAATGGAATTTGCTACTGTTAGGAACGTGAAGAAAGACGGAAGAGATTGAAACAAGACCGACCAGATGACCATCCTGTGCATGTTTCTCCGCCTCCTGTACGTGATCACTTTTATCAAAATAGGAATCCCAAGTTCTACGATAAAAGTCGGATCCCTCCTGGTAAGATCCCTGACATTGCAGAATAATTGCTTTATAGATTTATAGTTATTGTCAATGTATTTTAATAACCACAAATATTGTGGTGTTTTTTAGATTGTGTTTGTTATTCATCTGTATCTTTGATTTTATGTGTTTTTAATACCAATTGATAGTTTATAATGGTTTTTGTGTGTCAACAAATTACCAGAATGGTATCTATGATAGCAGTGATCAATATATGAATTTTATGAATACATTGTTTGAAGTTGATGATTTGAATGATTGTTTCAGCCTTTCAGACAGTGTATTATGACATTGGTATCATGACTAAAAATTAAACACATGAATTTGAAATTTTTACTCGTTTCATTTTTGTTCTTAAGATGACGATTTGATTGATTTATTTAAAATTTAAAATTTACATTGTTGCTTAAATCATTGTGCATTTTTTTTTCCTTTCAAATCTTTTTGCAGGTTGGCTTGATTGTCCTTCGGCTGGTCAGGAAATAGGCTGCATTATTCCTTCTAAGGTTCCACTTGGTGAATCTTATAATGACTGTGTTCCACCTGGTAAAAGATACTCTTTTAAACAAGTGATTCATCAGCAAAGAGTTTTAGGAAGAAAGGTATATAGTAAATATTGCATTTCTCTTCTTATTTCACAATGTTAATCTTTAATTTTCCAATGAAATACAAAGCGGATCTTTTTTATGATCATGTCAACTATGTAAACAGCATGTTTGAAAGAGTAGAAATGCTCAGAAATGCTGGGTCATGTTAAGGAGATTATACAAAGTAACGTGGTGGACATGGCTATTCAAGATTTTGCTAAAGTATTTGTTCTAAGGACTTGAAACTGTGGTTTTGTGCATATCACCCAAATAAGTTAGATATCAGTTTTTGTTGGATAAGACTTGTAAAGTGAGATTGTTAGTTGGAGAATAATATTTACCTTACCTGTGATGTTCTGTTTTCAGCTTGGTTTGGTGATTGATTTGACAAACACATCTCGTTACTATCAAACTCCAGACTTGAAGAAAGAAGGCATTAAGCATGTAAAGGTGAGCAGAGGGTTAGTATAGTTTATTGCTTTTCTTGTTGCTCGTGGCTTTGGTTTTAATTTTCAGTTTTTCTTCTAGATTCAATGCAGGGGAAGGGATGCTGTACCTGAGAATGTGTCTGTAAATGCCTTTGTTTATGAGGTATTTTTTGCTATGACACTTGTTTATCATTTTCAGAATCTACTAGAATATGTGCCTTTATTTCTTCTTAAAATGTAATTCCTGTGATAGATTTAGTATCAACTCCCATGGTGCATTTATTAATTGATGACTGAAGTTGTGGCTGGTATTATATGTTTCCTTATCATCATGGCAAAGCCAACAAACTACAATGTTTTTGTATCAAACATAAAATAGACCGTATCTCATAATCACTACTGTCTCTCCACTTCTCATTCATCTAGTACGTTTGCTGATCTACATATGGTGTGTGCATTCTGAATCTTACAAGTTAATTGTTCCTAATGTGCTGTTATTAAATTTGTGGGTTTTTCCATGCAATTTGTTTATCAGGTGTCGCAATTCCTCCAACGTCAAAAATCCAAGAAATATATTCTTGTCCATTGTACGCACGGGCATAACCGCACTGGATACATGATTATTCACTATCTCATGCGATCACAATCAATGTCTGTTACTCAGGTCAGTTATTTTTTATTGCATTTCATCTTTTTCAGTATCATTTAGGTATTCATAATGGAATATCATTTTTGTTTTACCTTTTGTGCAGGCAATAAAAATTTTTTCTGAGGCACGTCCTCCAGGAATCTACAAACCAGACTATATTGATGCCTTGTATGCATTTTATCATGAAAGAAGGCCTGAAATGGTTGTCTGCCCTTCAACTCCTGAGTGGAAGAGGTCTTCTGACCTTGATCTCAATGGTGAAGCAGTCGCTGATGACGATGATGATGATGATGATGGAGGTCCAACTACATTACCTGTACGGACAACCTTGCAGTATTGTTTATTTCTCATCTTTTTTGTGTTATTGACTGTAATAAGGGCATTAAAAATATTAAATCTGATAGCAAAAGCTTTTTAATATCCATTGATTATCTTCCAAATGGAAAAGGTAAGGTTTTGACTTTTTAGCTGAAAACAACATATCGTAAATATTATGCATGGGGTAATCTTCTTTGGTCACATCAGTAATCTTTGCTGGTGGTCAGCTTCCTTTTGTTCTTCTTCACCATGTAGATTAGTGAGTACTTTGTTATGTGTTATAAAAATCTTACAAATTTTATTAAGTTAACCTTGTTGTTAAGTTATTGCTAATTGATACTGAGGTGTGCTTGTTTATGTTTCTTCTAGTTTCATATATGATGTTTCGATTTTGCTCAAAATTCTGAAACAATTATTTTGTTTAGGTTTCATCTTTAATGTCTTTTTTCATTTCAGAAGAGTCATGAAACAGATGTAGTGTTGACAAATGATGACATTTTGGGAGATGAAATACCTCAAGACCAGCTGGAATCAATGCGGTTATTTTGCTACCAAACTTTGAAGTTAAATGTTGGGGTATGTACTCTGAAATCCAGTTCTTTTTCTTTGATATTTATCTACTTATTCACATTGTCAAGACAATGAGAGTTGGAGACAGCAAGTTTTCATCAAATTTGTGACAGGCGGAGTATGCCATAGCTTTTCTATCCACTTTGATTTTTATTGTTTCTTTACTGTATCTGTGATAATTTTGTGGAGGACAATTAAGTGATGAGTTAGTAGGCTTTGTATATGTTAGATGACTGTTGTAATGATAATATTTCAGGATTGTAAGAATATTTTCTCTTAACGATGACATTAAGAGAACTTTTCCCTTTTATAAAACCAAAAATTATTGAAAAGTTGAATGCCTTTTTTTTAAGTTAATTGTTTACTTTTTGTATTATAATTCTTTATTATTATTGTTCATTACAGTTTTGGTTTAACATGAGCTCTGGCATGGCCATTTCTTGAAACCAGGTTAGAGGACATGCACAATTTCCAGGATCACATCCAGTTTCACTGAACAGGTTAATACGTTTGGTTTTATTTTGTTTTCTTGGTTAAGTGGTTATAAGTCTTTTTTGTATGCCTAGTTTACCTGTATGCTGGTTTCTGATTCTTCATTTTGTTTTGTTGAAATAGGCGAATTATCTCTTGGAACTGTGATCAGGCTTTAAGCTGTTTTCTTAATCATGCAGAAACTTTCCTTTTTAAACTAGTAAAGAGTAAAGGTGCCTTGAGATGTGCAAGCGGCTATGTTTTATGTCAAAGTTATAAAACATAAATATTTAAAAATTGGTGGTCAGAAATTAGCTTGCCAGTGTGGTGGATAGGTTAAATGTAAAGGATATAATTTGAGAATATGTATTTTCATTTTAAATAATCTGGTTTTTTTATTTTATTCATGAAAATACTTTAAATTTCCTAAGGTTTTATGGTGACACATTAATCATTTCTCTTTTTCCATTCTTTCTTGGGATTAGCTTGGTCCTTGGTGATAATGAAAGTATTTATGATGTCTATTTCTAGTATAAAATAATAATGAAGAAAAATAGGGTAAAGATGTGCCTGAAGGTACGACACTGGCTCAGAAAAGGTCCCAAGCATGTGTGAAGGACTTACCATTTTAGAGAGTGTAGGATGTGAACAGTGAAGTAGCTAAAATCAGTGATGTAAATTCAGTAGAAAACACAGGAATGTCTTCCATTTCTCTGGTTTGACCCCCCAAAAGATTTTTATTTATCAGCTTCAGATGTTCATTTCTTAACTGTTTTTAGGATAAAAGTGAATGTTGAGCTAGTCCTATTTAGTGGTTTCTTTTTCTTTTTTATTTTTTTATAATTATTTTTGTACAGAATCTTTATATAAAATTGAGTTCTCTATTTTTGCGTTTGCAGGGACAATTTACAACTTTTAAGACAACGTTATTATTATGCCACTTGGAAAGCAGATGGAACACGATATTTGATGTTAATAACTGTTGATGGATGTTACTTAATTGATAGGACTTTTAATTTCCGAAGGGTTCAGATGAGATTTCCTTGCAGACACCCAATTGAAGTATGTATTTGTTTATCTTCTTTCTAAGGAAAACTCTGGGAATTTAGTGTTTCATGAGTCTTATTAATATGACATTTTTTTGAACTTGTAAGGGTATAGGGGACAGGACTCATCATTTCACATTGCTTGATGGGGAAATGATAATTGATACCTTGCCAGACTCACAAAAGCAAGAGAGAAGATATCTCATCTATGACATGATGGCACTTAACCATGTGCCTATCATAGAGGTTGGTTGTGTTTATTTATTACAAATTTTTTCTTTTAATTGTTTGTCATCTTTGGCGTTGTAAGTGTGTTGTGAAACTGATAGTTCAGTTGATATCTTGCAATATATTTATTTTACCTTACTTTGCTCTAGGTTTTGGAGACTATGTTTTAACATTCGTAGTTGGGTTGTCAGTAATAAGGGCTTTAATGATCAGTAGTCTTAATTTTGCTTTGGATTTTGATCTTCCTAACCCTGTTTTCCAACAAGCATTATTTGATGTAGGAACTGCTTGTCATCCATTTGGGGTAATGGAAGATAACAGTTACATTACTTGATGACTGCAAAGTAAATTTGTCAGGGGAGTGTCTGTTGGTTTCCCGTATTAATTTCTGTTGCTTCTTTTCTAGTTCTTTTTCTTCTAGAGATTCAAGAGTGGAGTTATTAGATCTAAGAGTAGATTCAAATTAAGAGGCAAAAAGCCTTTTTAATTTGCAGAATCATGTTATCTCCATTTTCTCTTATGTAAAAGAAAAAAAAAAAAATCCACATAAAACATATCTAGTAACACTATAGATCAAAACTGGTGCAGCGGCCTTTCTATGAACGATGGAAAATGCTGGAAAAAGAAGTGATTGAGCCTCGAAATTATGAACGCCAGAACATTTACCAGAGCAGGAATCCTTATTATAGATATGACCTTGAACCCTTCAGGGTATGTATTGAGGAGCACCGATGTTTAATATATTGATCTATCTCCTACCTTTGTGAGATAGGCTAAGAATTTGCTTAAATCTGTTATCAGGTGCGGAGGAAGGATTTTTGGTTGCTCTCTACTGTAAATAAGGTTTTGAAGGAATTTATCCCGAAGCTCTCTCATGAGGCAGATGGCCTTATTTTTCAGGTGATTGAAGAGGATTATTGTATTATGAATGTCAAACCTTCCGGTCTTGTTGTTTTACTCATTCCCCTTTTGTTTTGTTAATGATATTTCAATCAATTATTTAGTACCTCACCATATGTAATCATCCAATTTTATCTTTTTCAGTTTCACACTCTATATCCTTGCCGATTCATACATCTTTACTCTTAAGTTTGTGGTGCTTAGTAGGCATGTTCTGTTAGGAAAGACTGTTATGTTTATAGGCGCAAGTGGTCACTGATGGCTTTTTTTTGCCAGGGCTGGGATGATCCTTATGTACCTCGCACCCATGAAGGCCTTCTGAAGTGGAAATATGCTCAGATGAACTCTGTTGACTTTTTATTTGAGGTTTTGTTTCTCAATTTTCTTTTAATTGTTTTTTATGTTAAAGTTTGGCTCTTTTGGCTTTAAAAATTTGTAGACATTCATCCCTAAACTGAGAGCTTTATGTATCGACAGATTGGCAGTGACGACCATCAACATCTTTTTCTTTATGAACGGGGGAGAAAGAAGTTGATGGAAGGGCATAGAGTTGAATTCAGAGGTTGCTATGAATTGTGTTTATTCTGTTTCTCTGCTTCATTTGAGAGCATTGCCGTTGATGCTATTTTTTAATTTCCTAAATTTTTTGCAGATGTTTCAGATCCTCCTCCTTCGTTCTCTGGGAAGATTATCGAGTGTTCTTGGGATCTTGATCAACAGGTGTGGGTCTATATGCGGATCAGGACAGATAAGTCGACTCCCAACGATTTCAATACTTTCAAGAAGGTCCGTCTCATTGCTAATTTGACAAATAGTTAATTTTTTTTCCTTAGCTAACTGCAGGAAGTAAGATGTTTATTTATGCAAGAACAGGTTATGCGAAGTATAAGGGATAATATCACGGAGGAAATCGTATTAAATGAGATTAATGAGATTATTCGCTTGCCCATGTATGCTGATAGAATAAAGATTGACAGCAAGGCCCACCTTCAGACAAATTCAGTACGACGTAGGTGATGGATACTGGTTGTCATGCAGCTGATTGAGGTATTGGATGCTGGAGTTAGCCTTTCATTGCCTGTGTGTTAAAGTGCTTTCAGGCTTCTTTTGGTAGGTAAGTTAGGTGCATGCATACTTGGGCTGTTGAGCACATCATGTAAAAGGTCACACTGGTATCATGTAATTAGCTATCCCCTTTTTTAGTCAATCTTGTAGTTATGTGCTATGCTGGTGAGTTGTATGATCCAGGTGGTACACTATTTTTCTTATAGTTGTTCATATTAGAGGATTAGCATTAGGATAACCATGTAAATTAGTGTTAATTTTTCTTATGTTGTGATCTCTCAAGTTCTATTGAAAGTAGCCATTTTCCAGAACTTAAGTTCTCTTAAGTTCCTTCCTCCTCCTCCCGCTTCCAATTTCTATTTGTTTTTTCCTTTTTTTTTTTTAATTTATTTTATCCCATGGTTTAGCTATTTAAGTAAGGTAATCTTTTTTTCATTCTTATAAAACAAGTTCTAAAGGGAATGAAAGAATTGATTACGAAATACGAACCCTTAACTCAATTACCAAAATATCTTCACCAATAGAATATATATCAATAAATTGATACTATATATAAGTATATGAAATAGGATTTTATTTTATTTTTATACTTGATTTCAACTCATTTGCTCCCTCTCTAATTTCAGACATGGCAAAGCCTTGGCATTCTATTTTGTAAAGTATTATAATACGATAAATACCATTTTTATGATATCGAAAGGAGCAAAAGCGAAACATTAGAGTACTCAACCGTAACTGAGACATGGAGATTAAGAAGTCGTAAGGCAATTAAAAATTCTTCTTTTCAAACATTTATTTTTCCAAAAATAAAAAATAAAAATTATACGAGGTTTTGTTGAGCTGAATCCACTGCACATCTCGTCAAAATCATCAATGTTCAGAGCTCCTTTTTCAGCTCGGAAATCTTGAGAAGAAGACAGCCAGTGTAATCGATCATCTCCTTCTTAGATTTACGAACTCTCTCTCTCTCTCATCTGGAAACTTCTCAATTACACACTCGAAAATTCTGGAGTGAAGCAGAGATCACAACATGAAATCCTTCGTGATTAGGGTTTTCTGGATTCTTTTCCTTTTGATTAGCGCCCCGAGTTTCTCTCATGGCGACGATTCCAAAAATAAATTCCGTCAACGACGCGCCACTGATGACGAGCTTGGTTATCCCGAAATGTAACTCCTTTTTTGGGTTCGGCGATCTTAATTTTACTTCTTTTTTTTTCTTCTTTGGTGTTTTTTGGATTCTTCAATTAGAGGAGCTATTGTTGTAAGAAATTTTTGTTTGTATGAATGTGTAGGGATGAAGATGCCTTGTTGAACACACAGTGCCCTAGAAATTTAGAACTTAGATGGCAAACAGAGGTCAGCTCTAGCATTTATGCAACTCCGTTAATTGCCGATATCAATAGGTGAAGTTTTCTCTTCCTTTAAGTTTATCTTTTAATTGCATGGTGAGTTTTTACCATGTTAAATTTATTTCATTTTCTGAAATTTGCTTCTTTTTTTTTGAGTAAATTGATAATTATAATAATAATTTAGTTGACTCTAGTATGATCGTATATTTTGTAGTGACGGGAAGCTTGATGTCGTTGTTCCCACATTTGTTCACTACCTTGAAGTTTTAGAAGGTTCTGATGGCGACAAAATGCCAGGTACCAATGCTTTGTTTTTCCTCCAATCATGTTAAATCAAGTTTTTCTATGAAATGAACGTGTTTATTTAGTTCTAGAGTAATTTGATTGAAGTTGATGCAATTGAGTTCTCAATAATTTGTAAGGTTGGCCTGCTTTTCACCAGTCAACTGTGCATTCTAGTCCTCTGTTGTATGATATTGATAAAGATGGTGTGAGGGAAATTGCTCTGGCTACCTACAATGGTGAAGTGCTTTTTTTCAGGTGATTTATCTTACTTAATTGCTCATTAGCAGCAATGCTCTCAAGTTGGTATGTGAACTTATTATTCTGGTGTTGGCATACTAATTTGTCCCAAGGTTATATTTTTAGGGTTTCAGGCTACATGATGACTGAAAAATTGGTGGTACCTCGTAGAAAAGTTCATAAAGATTGGTATGTGGGATTGCATCCTGATCCAGTGGACCGTTCTCATCCAGATGTCCATGATGATTTACTTATCCAGCAGGCTGCTAAAATGAATGCCATGAACCGTATGCTATTCCCATGTTTCAATAATTTTATACCCCTGATATTTCTCAATTTCGTAATCTCTCATTTTATACTTGTTGCTATGAAAGCTCCCTTGCACTCTGCTCCATAATGGTAATATGCAGACAATAAGCAGGCACAAGTACACAGCACATTTCATTGGGGATTATATTGTTCTTTTCGCAAAAGTTTAGTCCCTTATTCTGCATGGTTTTATTTATATCATGGAGCCTTCTCTTCCCATGAAATGACTCACACCAATACATGCTGATTATCCTTGCAGAAACAAATGGAAGTATAGCTGAATCTGACGTTACAGGTTCAAGTTACTCTAGCAAGGTTAACTTGTCCAGTACAGAGAATGGAAAGAAAGAGAATGGAAGTCAAATAGAAGATACCATCAAGCTGCCAACTGGTGTCAATAATTCTTCTGCAAACACTGCATCAGTGGGAAACAATGAAGCAAATAATAAAACAAGTGTGGGGAGATGGCTACTAGAAGATAACAACTCAAAAGGTTCCCAGGAAGGTAGTTCTGATTCAAAAAAGAATGTTCAGGAAGCTACCGTGGAAAATGATCAAGGGTTAGAAGCAGATGCAGATTCATCTTTTGAGTTATTCCGTGATAGTGATAAGTTGGCTGATGAGTATAATTATGATTATGATGATTATGTTGATGAATCCATGTGGGGAGACGAGAAGTGGACTGAAGGACAACATGAGAAAATGGAGGATTATGTGAATGTTGACTCACATATCTTGTCTACTCCAGTGAGTATAAATTTCAATAGATTAGATAATGTGTTTCTTTCTAGTGGAGGAACTTTGTTGCCAGTCACAAGTAAAATTCTACTTAAACAGTCACAAAAATTTTGCTCTCTAATTGTCCTCAGGTCATAGCAGACATTGATAATGATGGGGTTTCAGAAATGATTGTTGCTGTTTCCTACTTCTTTGATCACGAGCAAGTTCTCTTCCTTTCCTTTCAATCTGACTTTGTAGTCTAGGTTATCTCTCAAGTTTCAAGTGCAACCTGAAAATAGCCTTTTTTCTTCCATTTTCATATTTAGATCTTACAATCTGTTTTAAGTTAATTTGTATCTCATGGAAGGAGGGATGCTCTTTTACAATTGAAGGAGCTGAAAAACTGACATTAATTGTTAGGTATTATGACAACCCGGAGCATATGAAGGAACTTGGAGCTATTGATATTGGAAAATATGTTGGTGGTGGCATTGTCGTATTCAATCTTGATACAAAGCAGGTTAAGTGGACAAAGGACTTAGATTTGAGTACAGATACTGCCAACTTCCGTGCACATATATATTCTTCTCCAAATGTTGTTGATTTGGATGGTGATGGTAACTTGGACATCCTTGTTGGAACTTCATATGGCTTGTTCTATGTATTGGATCACCATGGTAGTCCCTTTCAATTGACACTTTTTTTTTTAATTTATTTCCCCTGTATTGTTAGTTTAGAATTCTTACAGTTTGTTTTATAGGAGTCAACCATACTTCACAATCACAACATAGCTAATGCAAATTCCCTCCTTTGTGCCTATGCAAATTCAAGCGGCTAGTTGCCAAGATACTCCAATGTCACGTTATCTTGTGACTCAAATTTTTTACTGAATCTCCTTTAGGATTATTCTTTTTCTACATTCAGTTTGTTGCCTGATTTATGTTTTTGATTCAGGGGTTTCATATGTGAATGTGTTGTGAAGGCTTGAACGCCCTTGCTCCTGTACCACTCTAAGTTTTTCTTCTTGAACCCTAATTAACTATATCCACTTGCAATATGCTTGCACTTTGTTTCCTTACAATACTCTGTTTCTTTTTAAAAGTTTTTCTCCTCATGCTGGTTGATGTTTTTCATTGAAAGCAACTTTCTGTGCAAAGATCTTCATCTTTGTTTTTTCCCATTTAAACTGACTTTAAATTATGTAAGCAACTTTATTTCAATGCTTGTTACCAATTACCCAATTGAATTATTCATTTCATTCAGGTAATGTCAGGCAAAAGTTTCCTCTTGAAATGGCGGAAATTCAAAGTGCTGTAGTTGCAGCTGATATCAATGACGATGGCAAGATTGAGCTAGTGACAACAGATACACATGGAAATGTTGCAGCATGGACTGCACAAGGGGAAGAAATTTGGGAAGCTCATGTAAAGAGTCTGGTTCCCCAGGTGAGTTGTAGCATCTTTTCTGTAGTTTTGCCCGTACATGGCTAGTATGATCATTTGTTAGATAGTTTATGTATATGCATTTATAGTTTGATATTGTTCAGCCAGTCTCTTTTACTTTTCCTTGCATCTAGATTTCATGTTTTCTTATTGCTAGTCCAGATTATATAATTGCATGAAGGGGTATGTGACATGATCATTGGTGTATGCCCTGGATGATTGTTACCAATCTGTTCAAGTATCTTTCTCCGGTTTTAAACCTCTAAATTGAACTAAATAATGCATAAAGAGACTAGTGCTGAGCTGATATACATCATGATTGGATACCTGTTTGAAGTTCTTTGAGATCATATATCTGATATCTTTCTCATTCCTCAGGGTCCTGCCATTGGTGATGTTGACGGAGATGGCCACACAGATCTTGTAATTCCCACGCTATCAGGGAATATTTATGTTCTAAGTGGAAAGGATGGTTCAGTAGTTCGTCCTTATCCATATAGAACTCATGGGAGAGTAATGAATCAACTTCTTCTAGTTGACTTTAGTAAACGAGGGGAGAAAAGCAAGGGACTCACTATTGTTACAACATCCTTTGATGGTTATTTGTACCTGATAGATGGACCTACATCATGTGCTGATGTTGTAGATATTGGTGAAACTTCGTAAGTTATTCATTCTTATGCCTTATGGTTCCATACCCTTATCAATGCTCTTTCATGTTCATTTATCTTCTAAGTGTACCATTTCTTGACAGGTATAGCATGGTGTTAGCAGACAATGTTGATGGTGGTGATGATCTAGATCTTATTGTTACAACTATGAATGGAAATGTCTTTTGCTTCTCAACCCCTGCCCCACATCATCCCCTGAAGGCAGGATAAATCTGAACCAGACATATGACAAACTTCTTGTGCATTTGCTAACAATTTTAGGTATTAATTTAATTATAATACATTTCAGGCATGGAGATCAAATAACCAAGGAAGAAACAATGTTGCAAACCGGCACAACCGTGAGGGAGTGTATGTTACACATTCATCAAGAGCTTTCCGTGATGAGGAAGGCAAAAGCTTCTGGGTGGAGATTGAGATTGTGGATAAAGATAGATATCCATCAGGGTTTCAAGCTCCTTATAATGTCACCGTAAGCTTCCATTTCATACACAAATTACGATTTGCTAAAAGCAACTCAAATGTTTCCTCTCCTTTTTTTGGCTAAGTAGTTCAACTGTTTCAGTCTCCTTTATTTTGATATTGTGCTGAAACAATTCAGACAACATTGTTGGTCCCGGGTAACTACCAAGGAGAAAGAAGGATAAAGCAAAGCCAGATCTTTGAGCGTCCGGGAAAATATCGGATAAAACTTCCGACGGTTGGGGTAAGGACAACAGGGACTGTTGTTGTGGAGATGGTCGACAGGAATGGACTCTATTTCTCTGATGACTTCTCCCTCACATTCCATATGTATTACTACAAACTACTCAAGTGGCTTCTCGTCATCCCAATGCTTGGGATGTTCGGTGTGCTTGTCATCCTTCGTCCACAGGAGGCCATGCCTTTACCGTCATTCTCCCGAAACACTGACTTGTGAGAAACTGCACCGCAGTGGACCTCAACACATCCTATAGTTTACATCACTTAAATCAAGGCCACTGATATAGATGTCTTTAGAGCATTAAATCCTACAAAATTAGACTGCCAAGTTCGCATTGATTTTCCGTTTGTCTAAAAAGTTGGCCTTTTTGCTTTTTCAATCAAGGATGTCGGAAATTGTATCATAGTCGAATTTGAGTTTCATTTTGACATTAGCTATTTACTTGTTTATGCTCTTTTCTTCGCTGCTTTATTGATGGTATTATTCCTCAAATGCAACAATCTAAACGTTTCTTCTATAAATTTTTACTTTGGAACCAAACCCAAAATTGAAGCTTTCACAAGCAAATCGTATGAACAAACTGATTCTTCAGCTGACATGCAAACATTAACACCATAAATATAATTTGATTTCTGATTAATTTAACCAAAAATATCCAACCTATCACTCAGAAAGACCACAATTATGCTTACACCGACAATCATCCGAGTCAAATAATTATTGCAGTCATCAAGGAATTCTACTCAATTATTCATCATAAATTTAAGAAAAACGTGTTTAAACATTATCAGAAGCAAGATGTAATCAACATGAGTTTAACTAGAGCCTACAGCATCTTGAAAAACAGATAACAAGTAATTGTATCATGAATTAAATAGAAAAAGTCTTACATGAGAACCTTAGAAGCCCTGTAAGAGAGGTCTCTTTCCTAGCCTCTTGATCTCTCTATCCATTTTCCTAGTAAGCATCAATCCAAACATCCTGAAATCACATAAAAGGGAGCAAAATGGATGCCCAAAAGTGGCGGGAACATTCCCTTCCACAAAGAAATGACTGTACCAGGTAAGTCCATAACCAAATATGGGCACACAGACCAAGAACCACCAATTAAACAGCACAGAATATATCAATACTAGAATACTCGAGAGTGTGCCTGCAAAGTGCCAGCGCCTTGTAGCTGGTTTTGAGTGCTCATTCACATAAAAAGCCCAAAACTCCTCCAAGCTCCTGAAATTCATCTCTTTTAAGACAAAAAAAGAAAAAGCGAAACTGAGAAAGTTGATCACTTGAATCACCTGATCAGAAACTTTGTAATAAATTAAGCCAAAAAAAAAAATTCAATCTTGATTTGGTTTGACTGGAGGGTTTTGGTTAAAAATCACACAAATAGGGACTAAATCAAGAGGTAGTTGGGAAAACTGGGTTTGATGGGATGGATATTCTGGGATCCGGTCACTCCCTGTCTGAAAGGCTGGAACTTTGCTGGAATGATATAATTAATAATGTACTCCAAGGAAGGAAAGTGGCGTAAGAGAGTTGAAAAGGGTGAATATTTGCTGTCTCTGGAGGTGAAGGAATCAAAGTAGGTTCGGAGTCTCTTATGCAACAGTAGCTTGGGCTTTGTCCGCTGAGATATGTGACGGAGAGAAATTTGGACTTACTTCTTTTATGTTTTATAGTTTTTTTTTTTTAGTATTTTTTCTTTATTTTTTGAGCTAATAGCTTATATGTGCATTAGAAAATAAACAAACAGAGTCCAGAAAGTAAATTGTAATAAATGTTTCATGTACTATATTACAAATCAATACTATATCAAGCTTCAATATGTTGACTTAATGTTCTTCACTCTGCTGTGATTTGTGATTGACAGATCACGTAAGGCAAACAAAAATGTACAATGACACTTTTGCCATAAACAAAACAAAGAATGAGGTCGCTAAATTATCTTGCCGTACCATTCATGAATCAATGCTAAATGATCTTTTTCGGTTCATTTCGTATTACTTCCCCGGTGTGAACTTGTTTTTAAATGCTGCATGATGTTCTTTGACATTTTAGAAAACTGGCTTCCCAGTTGCAAACAGATTCCAGAAAATGGCTGTGACACTGAGGAATGCCTGAAAAGATCCTAACCACTGTACAAAACAACCGGTTCCAATGATGCTGATTATGGCAGCCAGTGTCCCTGCTGAATTTGCTATGGCTGTTGCCATTAAGAATATATATCCTTATTGTTAGTGATGGAAAATTGAAAACTAAGTAGAGGAAAAGTGCAAAACTACAATAAATATGAACAAAGTCATCGGCTTGTTATTAGATAGAATTGGCTTTAATGTAGCATTGAAGAAGTTGTTAGAAATTTTCAAAATAAAATATGAAAAATAATTTTATATTAATAAAAAGTTAAGATAGATAATTAAGTTTGTTTGAAATAGAGAGATAAATTTATTTAAAATGAACAGTTTTAACTGTTTAAAAATAGATAATTTTTATTTATTTAAAATAGAGAGATATGTTTGTAGAAAAAAACATTTATCTATTTATAAAAGGTTCTTTAAGCTTTCTAAAAAATATATAGAAAATAATTCTTGGAACACTTCCTCTTTCTTCAACTTTAGATTTCTTTTATAGTTTTACTACAAAAAACTTTTATAGAAGTTCAGTGATCTTGTGATACACTGGTGATTGCTCGGTAAATTGATTTCATCAATGCAAAACATAATCAATCACTAGACTTCATTATATCTTCAAGGTTTATTACCTGCAATCCTTTTGTATGCTTACTAAGTAAATAATACGGTAGGGGCAAATAAAACCTTAAAAAAAGTGGTACTGTCACACGTCTTGGAGCTTTTCCTCAAAATTTCAAATTTATCAACAGTAGTAATTTCAATTTTTCATTGTTGCTTTAACAATCTTAAGATTTTATTTGGTTCAACAATGGCTACTGAAGCAACGCTCAAAGAATTGGCTTATAGTTTTGTCAAATTGGGTTGTTTTGATAGTGGCAATTTTCAAAGATAGCAGAAAAATGTGCATTTTCAACTTTCAATCTTGAAGGTTATATATGTTCTGACTATTTTCAAGCCAGAAGAAAATGAAACAGAAGAATTTGTTACTGCAACAAGAGAAAAGTAGAAATGGAATAATGCAGATTACATGTGTAAAGGTTATATTTTAAACGGTCTGTCTAATAATCTGTTTGATAGATACTTAAATGAGGTTATTGCAAAGGAGTAATAGAACAAATTGAAGACCTGGTATATGATCGAAGATGCAATAAATACAAAATTTCGCGTTAGTCATTTCAATAATTATCAAATGGTTTATGAACGTTCTATGATTGAACAACTGCGTAAAATTGAAAGAATGCTTAATCAATTTAAACAATATAATATGAGTATAAATGAACAATTATTGTATCATTTGTAATAGACAGACTTTCTCCATCATGAAAGGACTTTAAAAGAAGTTTGAAACATAAAAAAAAAAAAAAAAATCACTCTTGAGGCTTTGGCTAATCATCTTTAAATTAAAAAGGAATACATAAAGTAAGAACAAAATTTTGGTTCTAGTGATGCCAAAATTCATGTTTTGGAGGAAAGACAAACTAAAAAGCTTGACAAAAAGAAATTCAAGTTCAAGCAGATTATTAATGGGCCTAAACTCAAGAAGAATAAAAAAGGCTTATGTTGCCATTGTGGTGAGCTATGATATTTCAAAAAAGAATATCAGTTACTACAAAAGAAAAATGATTCCTTAAAAGGGGATACTTCTGAAAAAATTTGTTATCATGATTTTCGAGATCAACATACTTGAAAATGATGAATCTTGGTGGATTGATTCTGGGGCAATAAAATATGTGTGCAAGGATAAAGGCATGTTCACAACATTCAAACCAAATGAATATGGTAGTATCTTTACATAAGAAATTCTTCTATAGCAACAATCAAAGGCAAAGAGACGTTGATCTTGAATTCACTTATGGAAAAACTCTAACTTTGAATGATGTTTATTATCTATAAGAAGTTAGGAAGAACTTAGTGTCTGAAAATTTGTTGAACAAATTTGGTTTTAAACTTATATTTAAGGTAGATAAATTTATTATATCTAAAGGAGAAATTTTTGTTGGGAAATGGTATATGTATGAGGGAATGTTCAAACTCAATAGTATTAATAAAAATAATAATGATGTTTTTGCTTACATAGTTGAATCTTTATATTTATGACATTATAGATTAGGTAATTTAAATTATAAAAAATTACATGTTATGAGTAAGCTTCTGTTAATTTCTGAATTTAGTCAAGATATTAATAAATGTAATACATGTATGTTGACTAAGATTATTAAAAATATTTTTTCTAAAGTTAAAGGAAATACAAAATTACTTGAGTTAATTCACAATAATGTTTGTAATATGCATAACACTCCTACATTATCTGAAAAGAAATATTTTATCATATTTATAAAAGATTGTATTAGATATTGTTATTTTTATTTGTTATCTTCCAAAAATAAGGTACATGATAAGTTTAAAATATATAAATCTGAAATTGAACTTTAGTACGAATTTTTTATCAAGTGTTTGAGGTTGGATAAGGGTAGAAAATGTTATAGTCCAAGTTAGTTGAATCTACCAGAATAATCCATTAAGTTACTACTCCTTATACACCACAACAAAATAATGTAGTTGAAAGGAAAAACATGGTCTTAACAGAAATAGTAAATCCAATGTTATCATATTCTGGTCTTGAACAAAGATTTTAGAGTGAAGCTTTATTAACAGTTTGTCATATATTAAATAGAATTTATCATAACATCTAGATCCAGGGATCTATCGCTAGACATTGACTTTTAGGGAGTCGCCACCAATCTTTTTTATCTATGTGTGATTGGCCACCTAAAAAATCTGTCTTTTTAGGGAACATCTAAGTTTAAGGGTCCCTAAAAGAATAGGTTCAGGTCTACTAACCAGAACAGGGTTCGAGAGTTCGGTTACGTATTAGGAAGGTTATAGCACCCTCACAATGCCCATCAAAAGATGGTACCAGCTTAAATTTGTGTTATCCGATAAGCCTTAAAATTTTACCAAGTAATTAACTATTGGAAATTATTCTCAATTGACTCTAATACTTTTAGCAAAAAATTGAAAAAATTCCCTCACCTCAAGAGTATGCAAGAAAAACTACTGTTTCACTTGCAGATGCTCCATCGTCGGATTATTTAAAGAAAAATAAAATCAAAATCAAAATAAAAAAAGAAGAAAAGAAGGATTTTTCTTGTGCAGGAAAAATTGATACTTTCAACTTTTTCCTAAAAATATTTTTTTTGAAACTTTAATTTCGAGGAAAATTGATACTTTCAACTTTTCCTCAAAAATTGATTTTTTTAAAAATTTATTTTTAAGAAAAATTGATACTTTCAACTTTTTCCAAAAATAGTTTTTGAAAACTTTTATTTTCAAGGAAAATTGATACTTTCAACTTTTTCTCAAAAATATTTTTTGAAAACTTTTATTTTCAAGAAAAATTGATACTTTCAACTTTTTCTCAAAAATTGATTTTTTTGAAAATTTATTTTTAAGAAAAATTGATACTTTCAACTTTTCCTAAAAAATAGTTTTTTTGAAATTTTATTTTTAAGAAAAATTGATACTTTCAACTTTTCCCAAAAAATATTTTTTGGAAACTTTTATTTTCAAGAAAAATTGATACTTTCAACTTTTCCTCAAAAATATTTTTTTTGAAATTTTATTTTTAAGGAAAATTGATACTTTCAACTTTTTTCAAAAAATGTTTTTTTGAAACTTTGATTTTCAAAGAAAATTGATACTTTCAACTTTTAACTTTTCCCAAAAAATCTTTTTTTGAAAATTTATTTTTAAGGAAAATTGATACTTTCAACTTTTTCCCAAAATTTTTTTTTATTTTTATTTAAAGAAAATAGAATAATAAAATAAAATAAAAATAAAAAGAAAAGTAAAACAAAATTAAAAATAAAATAAAGATAAAAAAAATATTAAATAAACCTAATATAATAAATAAATAAATAAATAAATTCAAAAAAAAAACCTGAAGCGGCTCAAAGTATGGTTCGACTCGGTTCAAGAAAGAAAAACGGCTCGAAAAAGCGACTTGGGATCTCGGCTCGGCTCGGCTCGGAGGGAGGAAGACACGCGCGGGTCAGAAAACGGATCGACGCTCGAGTCGGATCGGATCTCGGTAAAATACGCGGATCTTCTAGGTCACTTAAGGTAAAAACGACATCGTTTTAAGAGGGTATATAAAACTTTTCCCTTTATTTTTCGGTAGAAACCTTCTTCCCTCTCTCTCTCTTCTTTCTTTTTCCTCTCGTTTCTCTCTAAACGATCGAAGAACTCCGATTGAATGTTCACCGGATTCTAGAATTTTTCGTCGGAATCTGAGTTTTTCACCGAAAGTTCATTGAAAAGTTGGTTGATTTCTGGGATCCTTCGTCGAAAATTGGGCAGCTCGTCGAAAAATTTAAATTTGGCCGAAATCGTCGTCGAAAAATTCAACCTTCGTCGAAAAAATCACCGAAATCTGGAAATTTTCCAAAAATTTTCAGAAAAATTTTCGCCAAAAATCTCTAAAAAATTATTTTCAATTCCCACAGCTATTCTAACACTTCTCAACCTTCTTTTAGCCTTCAAAGACTCTTCTATACACCTCTTTTCTCTCAAATCAGTAGTTTTTTACTC